TCAGGAAACTCCCGTACAAACTCAGCTCCGGTCAGCTAGCACCGGATTTACACCAGAGGCCATGGCCACTTTGAAAAGGGATGCAGCCGGTCCTCGGAATCTCTCCGAGAAGCCGGAATGGCAGTGTGGCCTTTCTGGACTGAAGCCTTAAATCCGGAAGTCCATGGCCGCAAAACCACTGCCACGTGGTGTGTTCAGAAAAAGCATCAAGGAAAGAGACCGTACATTTAGGAATAGGGCAACCTTGCCCGCTAACGGTTATCGGTGAATTGTTCTTTTATTTTTACTTTCTGTATTGTATCACACTTCTAGTAAACCACCCAGAGCAGTGCCTTGGCACTAATGGGGGCAATCAATCAATCAATCAATCAATCAACCAACAAGCAAGCAAGCAAGCAAGCAAGCAAGAAAGCAAACACAACCCTGCCACGGCTCCCATAGTGCTGATGGGGAGGATATGAAACAGGGGAACGGCGAAGGGCATCGGCCGAGGGAAAGCTTGAATTGGGACCCTCTGCTTGCCTGCTCTGTCTCCGAGCCATTGCTGTGCCATATGGTTGTTTTCAATGGGAGTCAATTCTGAAGGACAGAGAGCAGGGAAGGCTCTCTGAGGAGAAGGAGAAAGTGTGTGTGTGTGTGTGTGTGTGTGTGTACATGCGCACACAACAGCCGAAATGCAGAAAACCCTCCCTTCTCCATGCTTCCCACTGCCGATGGAGGGCCAGGACTGGCTTGTGCCATTTTCCACTCTCTCCCCCAACCCCCTTCCCAGCTTCCTGCCACTGGTTTTGGGAGGGGGAACTGGTCTGTTTCCCCCCACCCACCGCCATAGATCTTTCCTTTCTTTTCCCTGTCCTGCTCCCTGTCCCTATCCTTGGCCTTTTGTCAGCCTGGTTGGAGACTAGGGAAAAGGGAGCCTTCAGACTTCAAATCCCAGAATCCTGGTGCTATCATGGGCTCTAGGAACTCGGGGAGTTTTTCTTTTCAACATGCCCTCCAATCCCCCCACATTTCACAGAGAGAGAGAGAGAGAGAGAGAGAGAGAGAGAGAGAAGAGAGAGAAAGGAGAGAGGAGGAGAGAGAGAGGAGAGGGAGAGGAGAGAGGAGAGAGAGCTCCGTGGTATCTGGCTGTGGAGCCAGAGAAAGGGAATTCAATTCCCATCTGTGCCTCCGAGGAGAAGGGTCGAGTGGGGGCCTTAGAGTACAGTTTTGCTGCCCATCAGAGAATATATAGGGAACCCTTCAAGAGCCACAGTCCCACTCAGCTGTCATGCAGCACAGGGAAGAAAAATGCCCGGAGCAATCAAGCAGGGAAGGTGCTGGGGCCCATGAAAGCGGGGGTCTGGGGGTGGGAAAGTCCCACCACTTCATTTAGAGATGGGAACAACCACAAACAGGTTCCTTTTTAAAAAAATCAGCAAGGTTCATGTTTCGTGGCCACCCACCAACCACGAATCGTCACGAACCGGCACTGTGCCAGTTGGCGCCCATCTCTAGTTGGGAGTTGGATTCCCTCTTGGGCCTCCTTGAGAGGGGCTGGACTCCATACTAGTTGGGAGTTGGATTCCCTCTCGGGCCTCCTTGAGAGGGACTGGACTCCATGATTCAAAGGGTCCCTTCCGGCTCAGCCGTTGATGTAAGTGGATGATGTTTTCATCTCTACATCCAGCGCATTCCAAGAGAGGGGCACCCATTTCACTCCCCCCCCCCAGTGGAGGACCACGTCCTAGGTCCTGGCTGAGATGAGGCCGCAGAAGGCATTTCCAAAACTTGGCTTCCATCTCAGGGACGGCTCCACTTTGGTTTTCCCGCCAACTCCTCTGTACAATCACCAACAAAGCCAGGGGACGTATCCAGCTTCGAATGGTGACAATCCCAGGGTAGAAGAGGATGGGGGGGCAGATGCATCCAACCAGGGTCCACCCCCTTTGTTTCTGAGGATGCTTCATCTATCCTTGCCAGAAACAGGACGACATCAACTGAGCACCCAGAAGAACTCCCAACAACTCACACTTCCTCAAAAGTGGGGACGTGGTTCTTTTCTCCAAGGATCAACGGCGCAGAACCAAAGGGGGAGATCAGCCAAAGGTGTCACATCACCTCCTCTTCTAGAATTTCATCTGTCATATCCTGCATGCATTATTTACCTCCAGAAAGATCAAGCCAAAGTCCTTCCCCAATGACTATATGGGACCTCATTGGGCCCTCCTTCCACTAGCTTTGCCCCACTGGAACAAGTTCAATCAAAATTCCTCAGGTCCATCTTCCAGGTCTCCAGCTATGTATCTAAAGCTAGTTTACAACTGCAGACAGGGATGATAAAAGTTGAGGCCAGAGTTTTACTTTCCTCCCTCGACCTCTGGCTCAAACGTAATCATACAACATCAGATTTAGCATCCTTGGTCCTACAAGACAACTTCCTATCTTCTTGGACTAAGATGGTACAAGCAAAGCTGAGACACCCAGGATTTTCCCCGGAAGCTGGCTATGGACAAAAATCATGCAAAAAACGCCCTGAGCGACATTAATCAATGCCCTAACTTCTTAGTGGCAGAGGATAAGAAGTATGCAGCTGAGCAAGCTACATATCTCACATCATAGGAGGGCTTTCTTCATGGCCAGATGGGGAGTGCTCCCCTCGGCCACACTTGAAGGCCCTTTTAAAAGGACACTCCTTTCAGAACGGGTATGCCCGTGTGGCTCAGGGGAGGTTGAGTCAACGGAGCACGTTTTGTTCCAGTGCCCATACTATCAGGGCATACGGGAGAAATATATTTCACCCCTAACTGGGAAAATGTCAGGCCCTACAGATGCAGAAAGGGGCAAGCTGCTGCTTTTAGGATCCAACCCACAGACCACAAAGCTGTGTGCCAGTTTTTGGAAGCAGCTTGTAAAACTCGTATAGCCCTTTTAAGTCTTGAAAAGAGATTCCAAGGGTGATGAGCTCATCAACGTCACATAGTAAGGATCGATCCAGTTTTAATGTAAATGTTCCTAATTTATTGGTGCACTTCCTTTTTAAAATGTGTAATGTATCTTTGGGACGTGGTGGCGCTGCGGATTAAACTGCGGATTAAACTGTGCTGCAAGGTTGGAAGACAGTTGTCGTAATATCAAATCCACACAGCGGAGTGAACTCCCATTGCTTGTCCCAGCTCCCAAAAACCTAGCCGTTCGAAGCATGTAAAAATGCGAGTCAATAAATAGGGACCACCTCAGTGGGGAGGTGGCGTTCTGTGTCTAGTCGCGCTGGCCACGTGACCACGGAATATTGTCTTCAGACAAAACGCTTGCTCTATGGCTTGGAAATGGGGATGAGCACCACACCCTAGAGTCAGACACGACTGGACTCAATGTCAAGGGGAACCTTTACCTTTACTGTATCTTTGTATACTTTGTTTAACTTTATTGGTCTTTGATAACAATAAACCTGTTGTTGTTGTAGACATAAATCAGGAGACCAGAGGAAAGGCCAGGAGACCAGATAAAAAGTGAGTTCCTTGGTGGCAGGGAACAAGCCGTTGAAGAAGCCGACACAAAGCAGCTCTTCCGGACTTGCTTTGTGACACTCCGTGGGGTTTTCCCCATCGACCCCTCAACCCGAGATCAACTCCAACTGCCACTCAATGCCAGGCACTGTGAGGACACAGATGACAGGAAGAGCCGGAACAAAAAAGCCACCTTGGATAAGAAGGGAAAACGCTACAGAAACACGCTATTACAGTATGTGTTGCAAAGGAGTCCTAGCCCAAATTTATCCTGCCCTTTCTCCAAGGTGGTGCACATAATTTTACTTGCACAGTAAACTTCTGTGACGTGAAAAGTTGCAAGATCCGAGATGGACCTAGGATTAAAAAGTGAGTTCCTTTTATTGACCATTTGAACCCACGTTTCCCTGTCTTCAGTCGGATACCTCAACCATTGTCCCCCCCCCCCCCGTGACTCCTCACACCGCAAGGGTTGTTTCTGTGATGGGACAAACCCTTTGCCCACGAGGATGCGGTAATTCCGCTTTCCTGTTTTCAGCACAGGTAAGAGTTTACCTGGAGTGTGTCTGCGGCGTTTCTGGGTCTCCTGCTCCAAAGAGGGATGTCGAGACTTGGGAAAACAGAGAGCGAGTCCTGAAGGCTATATGACAGATCTGGAAAACAAAGAAGAGAAATGGATTTCAGTGCAAAAAGGGCATAAGGCCTGGGTTTCAGTTTGGAAGTGCTGCGTGCGCATCATTGTTGGACAGCCAAGGCTGCAAGTCCAACCTGGGAAATGGGAGTTTGACAAAACCGACCTCACCTTCTCACTCTCTCATATCCTCATGGAGGCAGGATATTGCAAGGGGGGGAGGGAGAAAATGAAGGAAAGAAAACAGTGTTTTTAAAATGAACCCATTATCGGAAAGCACATTGCCTCCTGCCGGGTGTTAAATTGATCTCCAGCTTTGCTAACACAATGATGACCATATTTCATTGCCGCAGCCTCTATTTCTGCTCTCTGTCTTACAAAGGGCCCTCATTAGCACCAGAAACAAGTCTAAAGGAGTCCTAACGTTCATTTCCGCCTCCCGATCCACCCCTGAAAGGACAACGCCGGCTTTCTCCCGGAACTTTCTGCTGAAAGTTGTGAATTTTTGAAAACACAGGACTCGAAGCACGAATTACAAACCTCAGAGATGAGGCATATACAAATAATTCTAACCCAAGGATGCATAGCTAACATTTTGGGGAGCTGGGCATGCACAGAACACCCCAGCTTGCTGGGCTACCAGCCAAAAATAACTCTTGAAAAGCCCCCCCCTCAATTTTCAACATTTTTTTTAATTGTTGTTTAATTTTTGTGGCGCATGCTTCATTTTGAAGCACAGAAAAAAACAGAGGGATTGTGTAGGTTCCAAGTTGCAAGTAGAGTCTGAGACATTGGGGGCAAAACCCAAGTTGATTCCTCGGTGTGATGTACGTCCAACTTGACAGCAATTCCCGCCCCTTGAGTCCCCCCCTCCGGTTGCAATTCCCTGAACGTGTGTATGGTGGAGATGATGCAGTTTGAGAAATAGCAGTCAAAGATACACTGACATGAGAAATAAAATGTTACAAAAATTGATTGTTAACAGAGAATAAATTTGATGAAATACGGAAAGATTTTCTGAACTGTGTATTCTTGAAAGGTGAAGGTCGGCTACCCAAACAAGGGGTGATGTTCTTTTGGAAGGGCTAGGGAGCATCATAATCAAAACTTTGTTGGGAATATATGGTGGAGGTGATAGGTGGACTCAATTTAGATATGGGTTGTTGGTTTTCAGTTGTATTAAGTGATGTGTATTTTTCTTGTCATTTCTCATGTTGTGTCTGTATACCATCATAATGTTAATTTTTTAAAAAAATAGACCTGGATTCCAGGTAGGTAGGGCTAAGAAGGAGTCCTGCATCTGACCCTGGAGAGCCAGACCTGACCGTACCAAGAGTCTAGCTTAGCAGAAGCAATGCCACACATTCCTGCTTTCACGATTTCTTAGATTTATGTCTTGATAAAATCAGGCAGCCTCTGAGCAGCCCTAAGTTGGCAAGAGTCAATAAAATACAGTGTCAAACAAACAAGGGAAAGGTTCCCCTTGACGTTTAGTCCATTCGTGTCTGACTCTAGGGCATGGTGCTCATCTCCGTTTCCAAGCCATAGAGCCAATGTTTGTCCGAAGACAATTTCTGTGGTCACGTGGCCAGCGCGACTAGGCACGGAATGCTGTTTACCTTCCCACCAAGGTGGTACCTATTTATCTACTTGCATTTTTGCATTTTGCATGCCTTCGAACCATTAGGTTGGCAGGAGCTGGGAGAAGCGACGGGAGCTCACTCCATTACGTGGATTCGATCTTATGATGGCTGGTCTTCTGACCTTGCAGCACAGAGGCTTCTGTGGTTTAACCCGCAGCGCCACCATGTCCCAAACAAACAAACCAAACCCCAAACCAACCAATGCTATTTGATGAGTGAAATTGGAAAGCCGCCCGCCGCATGTTGGTCCATCATCTCTGGCCCAGTCCTTTCTGACCAGCAGTAGCTCACCGAGGTCTCGGGCAGGAGAGGGTCTCTTCCCGCCCACCCCCTGCTCCTTGGTCAGTTCAAAGAGAGCCGATCCCAGGGACAGAACTGGGGCCGCCTGCTGGCGAAGCATGGGCCTGCTGGTAGAGAAAGCCTCTCTCCCATCCATGAGCACCCGGATCTCCTGAGTCAGACCGTCTTCCAAAAAGGCCAGCTATGTGTTTACGAGAGGCAGGCACGCTGAAACCCAAGCCTGTTTTCCATGAACTGAACAGCCGAGCTCAAAGTGTACCCACATCGTCATTGCAGCCTTTATGGCCGGCGAGCCGAGAAATGCCTTGGCAATCAGGGGGGATGTTTGCATTTCGGAGGCATCCGCAGGGCGGACAGAAACGCCCAGGCTGGCTGTCCGGGCCACTCATCGCCTGCTCTTTTAACACAACAGACTCCTCCGTCATGCCTTCCCGGACATTCAGAGACGCCGAGGAGAAAGCATCCCCGAATCGTGTTGTCACTTTAGATGTGTACTAGCTGAAAGTTCAGCAGAGTTAGAGATCCGGTTTCTAGCTCTCTTAACGCCTCCCATGTAGCTTGTAGGCCATGCCAATTTTATTATTATT